CTATGCATAATCGTGACCAGCTCGGCCTCCTACATCTCTTGTATTTAAGTGACACAGTGGAGAGCAAAGGGAAGGTACCCATATTATGCCACCGCCTCAGAAAGTGTTTTTCAAGGAATAATGATTATAGTATTGTTTTACTCCAGAAAGCACCATGATTAGTAGTTTTATAACAGGTACAGTACTTCCTCAGACACAGTGTGTCACACAATGTAAAATATCCACTGAATTGTGACATAGCAGTTAATTATTATGTATATGCTAATCAAACTGCTACTTAGTGTGTTGCTTAGCAACCTTGTTGTTTAGTTATTTCCATTAATTGTTTAATAAAAGAATAATATGCTATTATCATCAGTAACTATATTCATTATGCTTTTGCACTTGCTTTCTTTGTCCCTTGGTGCTCACCATCCAATAATGACTAACTGCGCTGTTTGTGCAGCCTCTCACAGCTTGTCAAATAAATAACAGATTTGATTTTGTAATCAAGCACGCACATAGGCCCTGATTATATTACTGATAAAGAATCAATGCATGAATCCATGTGCGAATTAAATGCAGTGACAGAAAGATTTTTATTCTTATTTATCAAATCAAATCAAATTTTATTTGTGTAGCACCAAATCACAACACAAGTCATCTCAGGACACTTTACAAAGTAAGGTCTAGACCTTACTATTATCACTATTATTACAGAGGGAACACCCAACATTGAGAAAAGACATTGTTGTCTTTATACCTGCACAGGTAAAGCCAATGTCAACGTCCAGTGGGATGAGGACTCCACTGAGAGCTTGCCATTAAAACCAGTGCGAATAGCATTTGTCCTGGTGGTCCATGGACGAGCCTCTCGCCAGTTTCAACGCCTCTTCAAAGCCATCTATCACACCTCGCACTACTACTACATACATGTCGATCAGGTGAGCTGCAGTGTCTACAAATGTGATGCACATTCTGCGGTGTGAGGCCAGCCACGTAATTACATGTTCCATGGTACATTTATTTTATTTAATCAGCGTTTGATCAATTGCTTTATTTCAGCGCTCTAACTACCTGCACAGGCAGGTGCATGCTTTGGCTGCCCAGTATCCCAATAATGTCAGGGTGACACCCTGGCGCATGGCCACCATCTGGGGCGGTGCCAGCCTGCTGACCATGTATCTTCGCAGCATGGCTGACCTGCTGGCCATGAGGGACTGGAGCTGGGATTTCTTCATCAACCTCAGTGCTGCTGATTATCCAATCAGGTAAGAGAAGATCATCTCACACCAGAGAGTTTGGGGGGGTGGGGCAGTTTTCTAAGAAAATGAGGTAATGTTTAGAGGCAAGCATCCAATACATTGCTGGTGTAGTGAACATGATGTGCTTCTTAAGAAGCCAGCCACCGAGCATGCACAACAATAGTAGACCACTCTCAGCCAATATGGAAGAAATTCAATATACACTGGTCTGGGCTCTTGTGGTTAAGTGTGAGCTGTAAATACAGAGTCATTCCAAACCAAACAGATCAATGTAGAACTTCTGCTTTTCTCAAACAAATTTCAGTCACACCTTTCTTCCAGGTTCTTGTTTCCTTGCTTGCACACCACTGAATAGATTACCAGGTGAACTGATTACAGTTTAATTGCCCAGGGTCAATACCCATTGACTTCCCAGGCCTACTGTGTACTGTACAATCTGAAAGTAATCTCTTTTTTTGAAAACATCCCTACTAAGAAGCTGTGAAAGGTAATTAAAACTTACAAAACCTATGTAAACCAGACATGAAGTCATGGAAGTAGACTACTGGAGGAGAAATTTCATGACTTGTACTTTTTGTGTGAGTTTACAGTCCTTTTGGGAGTTAGGGGTCTGCTGGGTTTTTGATGTAGCTCTGCAACAGCCAATTAAAATCCTCCTATTAAGAAGAGAGTTATCTCTTCTGCACAGCCAGATGTCCACCAATTTAATTTAGATAAGCTGTAATGGCCACTGGGTTAAAAGAAGCTGGAGCTGATGTCTCCACAGCTGGAGCTGGGATGCATGGGACAAATGTGGATGTTGCTCATAGACTGGTTCATTCTTGTTGTGTTGTTGTTTTTGACAAATCAATAAACAACCCGCTGTCTGTATCTGTTTGTGTGTGCATGTGTCTGTGTGTGCACATCTGAGTTTGTGTCTTCCCATCTGCATAGTTCAGTGTGTCTCAGCACCTGTCTGTATACATGTGTGTATATTTAGCCTGTCCGTCTAGCAGGTCACAATTAAAGGTGCTTGCAAGTGCATGCATCAACACACTGTTTCCCTCCCATCTTTTGCCTCCTCATTTGCATGAGGGCGATATTGTTGAGAAAACCGCTGACAGTGGAGGTTTTAAGCCCCATCTGCTGGAAATGATGGTGATGATGGAGCCAAGAGGCAGAAGTGACAGGGAGAGGTGAGGGAGTGAGAATATCCAGTTAGGGAACAAGAGGGAACTGCATGTTTCAGATATGCATAGTATTAAAATGTGTAAATTGCACCATTGTCTCTGTGCTTAGCGAGTGCATTTGTATCCATGGCCAAGTCTACACACTGTATATTTACTGACTTGAACTGTGTGGTCCTCTAAAGTGGAAGGCCTGAGTTGAAGCCCACTTAGAGAAGGAGAATTCACGCTACTCAAGTGTCCTCAGGCAAGAAACTGAAACCCCTTGAGCTGTTTTACCGCAAACAATCCTTTATGATCAGGTGAAAAGGAACATTTTGCCTTCAAAATAAACAAATCGGCAATACAGTATTTTTACAGACTTACTATAGCACAGAAAAATATGGGGCGTCAAACACTGGCGTTTTGACAGGTACCTTTCTGCTTCACATAAAGATGCTCAAGTGCGCCCTTAGTGTCTGTGGGAGACGTACAGAGTTTTCAAGTATTTAATGGCAAAATGTATGTATGTAAACTAGTATGTCCTTAAGAATATGTTCACAAACATGGTCCAAATAGCACTCATCCTTCCTCTGTGACTGCGATGGTGCAGTCAGGAATGTGAGGGGGCTCCCCTGCCCCATGCTGCCCTGACTACTTCAGTTTTTATCAGTGGGAGTGGAGACAAACATTATTTCCCCTCTAATTCACTGATAATGTCTATCCTGCTGCATGGGTGACTCACAAAGGCAAACCCAGAGCCCCTCACACCAGCAGAGGGACTGTTCGTCCAGGGGGAGGTATACTGTGTGTGTGTGTGTGTGTGTGCGTGTGGCCAGAGAGGTCAGAGGATGATTTACACACTTGCTTTGTCAGCAAGTATGACCCTGTTTCTCAACTTTTATCTAGGCAGCCTACTTGTTTTTACCACCTTTTTTCTTTAAAGCTCCTTTCATAGGATTCACAACAGCTTTTAAGAAGCCTAAGCTTTGTGAGAAAATGACTGGCTGCAGGCGTCATATCTCCTAAACTCTCCACTTCATCATCGGTGTCTCAGGAAAGTGTTGCGTCTTATATTTGAGGTGTCATTTCCTGCTGTGAAAAAAGCTTTTACAACCCATTAGGACTAAGCCAAGTCATTAGAAAATATAATTATAAAAACTTAAAATGCTGTTTTTTATAAAAAAAAAACTGCATTTTAAATGACTGAAGTTGATTAACTTTTTGTGGGTTTTTCCAAGAAAAAGACAATGAATGTGTAATCCATCTCTCATCTGTTGGAGTGGTTTCAGTGTGACCATGGGTTCGTAACCTGACACCCGTGGCATTCAACTATTATGAAAAGGGCACACTGTAAATTTAACAGTAAGACTATGGAAGTGAAACAGCGGCATAATGATGAAGTTTAATTGGCTATGATATTGAAAAGGTGCACATTTCTGGTTGTCAAGGCGATTTGAAACACAGCTGTGTGTGTATGTGTGTGTGTGTGTGTTAATGTATGCGTGTGAATACCGCTGTGAGAGAGAGAGCAGCCACAGGTAAGCAAACTAGACCCAGTGGACAGGGTGACCACTCAGGTGGCAAATGTGGAGCTTGACATGAATTCCCCTCTCTGTGTGTGTGTGCGCACCTGGTATTACTTACACTGTGGGGACTGAAACCTGTTTACACTCCCAGACTGTGGGGACTCAGCCTTCCTTGTGGGGTCCAGACATGTAAATCACAGAATTTTAGGGTGACGACTGACAAGCGTTTGTGTATGTGTGTGCCTTTGTATTACTTACATTATGGGGACCACAACCTGTTAACACACTCACATTGTGGGGACTCTGCCTTCTTTGTGGGGACCAGAGGCTAGTCCCCACAACGAAATCACTGAATTTTAGGGTGGCAACATGGTTTAAGGTTAGGGTTAGGTTAAGTGTTAGGGTTAGTATTAGGCAAGTAGTGGTTATGGTTAAGGTTAGGATAAGTCTACAGGAAATGAGTATATGTCAATGTAAAGTCCTCACAAGGAATGAAAATGCAGTGTGTGGGGGGTGGGGGGTGGTCTGCATGTGACTGTACAGCACATCATCAGTTAGAGTTTATGGCTCAGGACCTCCTAAGATAAGCCCCCCAGGCTGTGAAATTGCTCCTTCAAGAGAAAATGACATTAATATACACTTGTCCCTGCCCCCACTGATTCCTGAGTGTTTTACCAGGGCCTCACTGCTCTATTAGAATGGCAAGCCAAGCCAACATGAAAGTCTCCACCGCAGAAAAAAACACGTTAAAGCCATTGACTGGGACATAGCCTGCAGAGCAAAGCTTTTAGCCTGTCTGGCCTGTGTATGAGGGAGTAGGCTGCTCCACAGTGTTAGAGCAGCATGAAGTCATTCACAAAAATCATGGATAGCATGATCTTTTGTATAATCCTAAATAGTTTAAACAGCTTGAAGGGGCTGAGGGACTGACAATGAGAGCAACTGGGGTTTGTAATTGATCAGCCCATGAAGAAGTACTTCTCTAAATTAAAGTTCCCTTTCACTCAAAATTATATTTTGCTTATTGTTACTTCGAAGCTTGACCTATACTGTGTAGAATGTTGTGTGTGCAGAGAATGATGAAAGAAGTTTGTTTTCACGTTTATCTGCTGAAAAAGGAGCATTTCTGTGCTGATATGCTTTTTACTACATGTTCACGGTACACCATGGCTACCATGGTTATTCTGTGTTTCCTGGGAGTACTGGCTGTGCACGTCATCAGAAATGAATGTTTTACATTCACATAATGCAATTTTGAAGAGAAACTCATAGCTTGTTCTGCTGACATGTTGCTGCTGCTGTTTTCTGTGCTGTGATCTCAACATCAGCAACACTGTAACGTAAGCGTAAGTGTTGTCATGGCTGCTGTTTACACTGTGTAAAAGCAGAAAAAGTTCACAAGAAAGGTATTTTGTTTTCAGCCAAGGATGATTAGACTCTAATTTGCCCCCTAGTGGACATACCTTTGGCTTAAAATGTGTACGTACAAGCCAGATTTTGTTCAACTTACTGTTTAGCTCTTAAGTCTGGGTGAGTTGGGTGAGAGTGCTTTGCTTCACTCTCATAGTATTGTTTTTATGCTCCAGTTCTAACTACAGATATTACCGTATCTTTCCCAGCCAAAAGTAAGTAATTTTCTTTCACTTCAGGACCAATAACCAGCTGGTGGCCTTCCTGTCCAAATACAGAGACATGAACTTCATCAAGTCCCATGGCAGGGACAACGCCAGGTGAGATGCAAATTTTGAAACTTCATTTTAACCTCCCACGCAACACCCCACCTAACTCCACCTTCTCCCGTTGCTTTTCTCTTACTCACAAACTCAGCAACACCTATGTGCACTCCTGCCAGCACGGCCTGGTCACTGACTCATCATTTAATTTACTTCCATCTGTGGCTTTATTAATTAACCTTCTATGTGGGGTGAGCTAGCGAGGTCACTGCCAGAAAAGCTCGTCACTTCTGCCGTCCTGTGCTCTGCCGCGTCATGCCCCAGTGGCAAACCAGTCATCACCCAACACTGTGGGGAAAATTGTCCAAAAAAACACATGAAAAAGATGAACACCCAGTGTGGATGCATGACTGTGACTCAGCAGTACCTTGTTGCATTTGTAGTCACAGTATTATATTCAGTGCTGTCTGATGACATTGAAGCTATTCTGTTCCTGATTTTATTTCTGTATTAACAACAACAATGATCTTGGTAATTCACCAGTATACGTGTATGTTTGGATGGCTGAAATGAATTGTAATACTCAAAAAATGCATGAATGCACTTCTAAATGTCATCCGTGTATCCATCTGTGAGTTACAAGGTCAATACATCAACAGTCTTTGTCGCTGTGCAGAGGACAGAGAGAACAATTTGACCTGGCTGACCTGAATTTGACCCCCTCCATCTAACACCCCACAAGTTCACAGGAGTAACACTGCCCGTTATGTGTGCAGGGTGCCACTCTTTTGCATTTGAATGTGTACTGACAAGTGTGAGCAACACATTTATCAAGACTTTTAAGGCCACGGAGAGGGAACCATATATTGCTACAGCTGCTGTATTGCAAAATAAAGAAATGTCTTTATATACAGATGTTGAATTCTAAAGTGATAATGTTAGTAATGTCCTGCTGTTGTACTGCAGCAGTCAAGTTGTCTCTACATGTACACTCACCAGCCACTCTATTAGCTACACGTGTACAATTGTATGCACTTCAGTGCAACACTTCCACCTTAACATCTGTGTTTATGAAGCTCAAGATGTTTCATTTTTTGGTGAAATTGCTGTAAATGTATAAATTAAATTTTATGTTTATTATTGAGGTTATAGTTAAAGGTGGTGTTGTACTGGACTACATTATATTTAGAAGTGTCTATACTTTTGTCTTCCTCAGCTACATACATGAGCGGGTCAGACAATTTTGAGCTTCATGCAGTAAATACAGATGTTAAGGTGGAAGTGTTGCATTGTAGTGCATACAATTGTACAGGTGTACCTATTAAAGTGGCTGGTTAGTGTAAACAATCCACAAGACAATATTTAAAGTTTGTATTTTGCTCCTTTTTTTTTTTTTTTTAGCTTTTTTGGTTTTAACAGTATCCCCCCACCCCCAAATGTTTTAGAAGGAGCAGATCAGTTAAACATATTTTGTTCCTCTTTCAATACAGCCACTCAAAAGTTGTTTCCTACTCTTCCTACTCAAAGAGAACAATGTTCCCAGCAGTTAAGAGTCAACAAGGACCACTCAAATACTCTCCCTTTTATAGAAAGTCAAATGAAAAACTGGGAGGAAATACAAATGAGCAGCTGATTATGCCAAGAGTCTAAAAACAAATAGAGAGGGCTTGTTTTTATGTAAATGGTGTTTCTACTTGGATGTTTTAGAATTCACAGTAAACACTGATAAATACACTGAAATAATCATCTCTAATGCGTACTTTTGTGTGTGTGTTCATTAGGTTTATTCGTAAGCAGGGTCTAGATCGTCTGTTCTACGAGTGCGACACCCACATGTGGAGGCTGGGTGACCGTAAAATCCCAGAGGGCATCAGTGTGGACGGCGGATCTGACTGGTTCCTCCTCAACCGTATGTTCGTGGAATATGTCATCAACTCCAAGGACGACCTGGTCACCAACATGAAGCGCTTCTACGCCTACACTCTGCTGCCTGCCGAGGTAACACGCACACAAACAGACACCGCTTTTACACGTTCAGATGTTTCTTAGACTTTGACTGACAGGTAAGCTTTGCTTTGTTCTTACACCACATCGTTTATGGAAGCAGTGCACTCTTCTCTTTTTATTGCTGCGTTAGATGTGCAGGGGAAAAACGAACATGGAGGCAGACATAAAATCATAAATCGAAAGACGTCTGCAACTGTATATAAGGATGGGATGAGAATTGAATGATGTCTTGTGGGGAAATTGGATGTTTATCGTGAGCTACGGTGATTCTTAGTTCCCTGGCGTTACTCTGTTGCTCCTCATGAATTGGATGGAATAAAAAACTAAAAGTATACAGTTTTCTAATTTTGTCTCTCTCTCTCTCTCTCTCTCTGCATTCACCCCCCACCCCACCTACCCCCACATCCTTTTCTGTTTCTCATTTCCCAGTCATTTTTCCACACGGTTTTGGAAAACAGCGCCTACTGTGAGAGCATGGTGGATAACAACCTGCGCATCACTAACTGGAACCGTAAACTGGGCTGTAAGTGCCAGTACAAGCATATTGTTGACTGGTGTGGCTGTTCCCCTAATGACTTCAAGCCTGCAGACTTCCACCGCTTCCAGGTAATAATGAGACACAATGCTAAAATAAAGAAATACACTTTTCCCTTGCAACCTTTATGACTGATCAACTCCAAAACTGCATTTTGTACTAAGGGGTTCTCCGGCACAAAACAAATGCTGGAGGTAGTGTGGTTCATATTTTCAGGGTTTGTCCTTTAATTTTTTTCATGTTTTTCAAAGATTGCCACAGAGCTAATGTAAAAGTTAATTGCTCTTAACATACAGTATGGTACAGGTTGAATATTTCTAAAATGATTTTGGATTACAAAAAGTAAATGATCAACAACTGCGAGCAGTCTAGTAACTAAGGACGACTGGACTGAAATGTCAGTCTCAGCTGTGACTGGCTTCAGCAGCCCCACAACCCTCTTCAGCTGAAGCCATATAGATGATGGCTATATATATATTTTTTTTTATATAATTTTTTATATGCTATTGTAAGAGTACCTGGAGATAACAAGCAAACAGCATCTGCTCCTGGTGAGTTAAAACTCTCTATTCTAAATTATACACACATTGCTTCAGGTGATTTATTGTAGTCATTACAACCACTCTTAACCTACTTGAGACCTGTGGAGCTAAGAGTATTTTAAGTCCAGATGAAGCCAAAGAAATCCAAAAAAAAAAAAAGGTTTTATTAAGTCCTTGAATTGAGGTAGAAGTGAAGGATCTTTATAAGTCTGAAATTTTACTTTTAGCTGCTTGATAAATACAGTCCCTAAGTTTTACCTAAGTACTCCAGATAAAAAGTCATATCCTCAAGCAGATTAGCACCAGAGACAACAGATAAACCTACAAACATACCAAATGAAACTTTGGTTTGGAGCACACACACCTCAGTACATCTTGGGAAATCGGCAGCAGTCATTCTCTAAATTCTCTGCCCTCAGGGTCTGTCCTCTCAGCCTCAGCACCCAGCCTGTTCCCACAGCTTTCCCAATCAATATGTGCAAAATTATGTCTCGATTAGTATGACCCTGAAAGGGAAAAAAACTAATAGTAATTAGATCCTCTTTGCCTTGGGTATAAGGGGGAGAAAAAGGTTAGTTAGCTTTTCAAACAGAAAGTGAATGAGTGGCAGTGACTCCAGGACCCCAGAGAAAATCACTACTGCAGTTTGACTTAATGTGCTCTTAAAAAGTTAAAGCTGCAGTACAAAGTGAAAATGTTCTGCCACAGTTAAGTATAATTTAAAGTCGTCTCCTTTAAGTACTGTGACTCACTTTGGCTTTCCTGTCCTTCACATACCAGTCAAAGCTGTCACGCTGACCTCAGTTCTCCCTTTGCCAGACCTGCGGTCGGTATCACCTCAATCTCTGGCAGTTCAGTGCTGACACATTACCACAGGTTCTTGGCACTGCAGCTGGGTCTGGTAGGCACCTTGGTGTCAGTGAAGTCCAGCCCTCAGAACAAAGCAGCCTTTCCAGAAGCCGGCCAGACCCCTGCTATTAATGAGACTTCATATCCCATTGAGTGCATGACCCGAGTTTCCCTCTGAACTCAAACAGAGGGGAAGATACAGGCAAGTAAAGTAGGTCTGAATATGGTTTGTAGATGAGAGGAGTAATCCAAGGGACAACTGTTGAGCTCCCCACACTATGATTTTGACGTGCACTCACCTAGGATATTCTGGAGAGGACCTGAGCTGATGTGCCCTTTGTCGTAGTACATCAGTGTTTGATAAAGCCTCTGGGAAGTCTGTTGGAGAGACGGGTTATGACAGGCTGGTGCGTTCAGATGGCCATGCAGAAGGCAAACAATATCTGGGGATGTGTAAACACAAAATCTCCAGCTGTTTCATTTGAAATCTGGAGCCAATCTTTAGTCTCTGCTCCAGCATGGGAAAAGCTGAACTCTCAGAAATGTTTCACAACTTCATTAGGTCTCCTGTTTTTTTAGCATGTAGCACCAAGGCGTTCGGGGCTGGGTTACTATCAGTAAATAGTCTTGTGTTTGGGTCTGAAAAGATTTCTTTGTGTGTTAGCCAACCTGTCGAGGCAGCAGATTTCATGATGCACACATCAACCCCTCAAGCCATGTTGCGGCAAGGACAGAGAGAGTGGGAAAGACATGGGTGGAGCTGGGAGTGCAGACAGAGTGACAAATACAAACACTTGTTGAGAAAAGAGGTGATTAATGGATGGATAAATACAGAGAAAGACAAGTTCCTTCTTCTCTTTCTTAGTCAAATACCTTTGAGTGACTTACAAGAACAGCATTGCACCCAAACAAATCAATAGGTGCATTGTTTTTAAAGACCTCTCTCACTACATGATTTACTTACCCCCTAAATTTCTCCCTGTAACCACAAAGCCTGAGGTTTTTATAAGTATTTAATCCCACCCCCCACCCACACACACACACACACATTGTTGACTGGTGTGGCGTGGACTCCCTTGAACCTCTGATTAATAATCTACATTAATGATGAGTTGTTTTAAAAAAATTGATTAATGAGAACCACAAAGACCAGTGGTTCCTAAACCTTCAGGCTTGTGAAACTTTAAAACTAAACAATGTTTTATTGTAAACTCTTGGTATAGATTTCATTTAATTTTTGTTTTATTAGAATTATTATTCTCAGACCCGTGAAGATGTAGATTTATCCATTTAATTAAAAAATGCTAATATTTTTGAGATGAGCCTGAAAGAGAAAGGCATTGGTAAGGAGTATGAAGCAGCTTTATGCTATTAGCACCTGAACACACCTGAATCTTTGCTGGAACCCATGGTGGTTGAGTTGCATTGTGGGTAATGCAGGCGCCAGGTTGTGATAAGGAAAAATGTTGAATAAAAAAGATGATATCTCTGGTTCTTCTGTTTTGATTCTGAATGTTGGCAGTGGTCCTCCAGTTTGGGGACCACTGACATTCAGAGCATTTGTTCTGCAAGTGAAAGAACAAGAGAATCATTTTAATTTAATGTACAGCTGATAGTAATTTATTTACTACTCCATACAGAAGAGACTGACATCCTGTTTCTCTGCCGGACTCTACCACCTCTTCTCCACCTTCTCTTTCTTCTCTGCTCACACACATTTCACACATCACATTCTGGCACACCACCACTTCTTAATCTTTTCCCTTTTTATCCTCCTTATCGCTTCCCTCTCTGCCTTGCTGTTTTGTTCCCCTCCCATCCTTCTTCCCTCCCTTTCCCTCTGCAGCAAACTGTACGGCCCACATTCTTTGCCAGAAAGTTTGAAGCCAGCGTGAACCAGGAGATAGTGAACCAGCTGGACACCTACCTGTTTGGACAGCTTGCCCAAGGGACGCCGGGGCTAAGCTCCTACTGGGAGAATGTATATGATGAACCAGATGGTGTGGCCAGCCTTTCTGACACGCAGCTCACATACTACCACTCTTTCTCACGACTGGGCCTGGCCAGGGCTGCCACCTCGCTGCAGGGAAATCCAAAGGATCACAGCTGCAGGTTTGTTTTGTAAAAACATGATTCACCTATGCAAATACTTCCTGCTCTTTTCTTTCTTTTTTTTTTTGCCTATTCTCCAATCAACACATCGCCATCTCTCAGTAGCCGGCCACACCCTTGTTAGCATGAAAAACCATAACATATATTAAAACCTTTTGTAGCTCTGTCGATGCATAGTCTCCATCTGGGTTAACAATCACTGACTGGCCAATCCCAGTCAGCCACTGGGAACTCTGAATAATGCTCCTCATCTTCTAACACAATATGACACTCTTGTCCCTGAGATAATAAGGCTGTACAGTATGTAATAGCACTGAAAGCTGCCCCTTCAAATCAGTTCATTATTACTGGAAACATTTAAATTCCAGAGTGCTGTTAACATATGTGGTTAAAATGAAAAAGGAAAACCACACCGTCCTTTCATATTTAATGGCCAAGTGGAACATCTCAGTTTTATGTACTTCAGTAAGGATTTTTACAGCATGTGTTTTCAGTAGCATCTGGTGCTGGAGCATTTAGGTTAGCTTTCCTTTAGTTTATTTGCACAACAATGGAACCCTGATGCAAAGTGGTGAAAAAACAGTGACAAATGAAATACGCTGATTCAAAACAGAAAGCAGAGGTGCAAATGACTAATTTGTGTATGTGTAGCAGAAGGTCCATGTATCTCACAACAAACACTCAAGATAAAACAAACATGACACCTACAACAGCAAAATAAAAAGCATTAAGATGAGGTCTTTGTGTTTGTCTTAATGACATCAACAAAAATTAAGAGGACCCCTTACCCCAGCACACAGGATTACACAATTAAATGTGTACACTGTTGTGTTAACCGTACATGAAGACACACTGATCTGATCTGCTCCAGTTTTTGTTGGTAGCCATCCAAGCTGCCAATTGATATTATTCCACTCAGGAATGTTTTACAAATCCGCAGATAAACTGACTGATAGCATCTTTAAGAGTAGTCACTCACACAAAATTGATCAGCACACACACACTGCTGCATTGCGAGTGTTTTGCTGAAAGAAAGTGAACAGAAAAAGGAAGCATGTTTCCATCTGTCAGAGCTCAAAACCGTCTATTGGCTACAGCTGCTGCTACTCTGGTAAAACTCTAAGAAAGCATGAAAATATGTTTATATACAGTACTTGTGTGTTTGTGCATGCATAAGAGAGAGAGAAAGTGCAGGCAACATATGCACACACAGAGTTTGAAATAACACCTTATGTGTGCAAGCTGTATTAAGCCTTTTGGGTGAAGTCCAGTTTCAAGTCAAATGGAAACGTGAAGTCAAGATGAACTTTATGAGGTGTCTAGTGGGTTTTCAGCACTTCCTTTGTGTTTTAATGATGTTTTCACATCGTGACACCACGTTCTGTCATTGCACTTTATTACAGTTCAGCTAATTAAACACAGATGAGAAGGAGGAATCATAATAAATAACGTGTTTTCACACCTTTCTGAAGTGACAATACAGCAGAATATCTGAAAAGCAGATATAGCACACTGGAGAACAGTGGTAAGACTATTTAAATGACTTTTACACTAGCCTAGAGCTTATAATGGATGGCAGATTTAGGGAAAAATAACCCTATAATGTTGTTCAACATTTCCCCGCAGTTTGTGCCTCTCATGTGTTACTATTTCAACTGCAGTGACTAGTCACTTAATCAAATGGCAGAAAATTAAGGATGTTTTTTGTTGTTATGTCACACGTGTTGTTCAGATAAAACAAGACATTTAAAGACTTCACCTCAGTTAGTGGGAAATTATGACAGGTATTTATTATTATTAATAGCAATTAATCCATCAGCCAATATAATAATGTGCAGATTAATTAATAATCACATTTTAGTATTACTCAGCTAAGTAATTACTTGGAGAGTTGTTCAACATCACTTAAAGTACCACTGTGAAGGTAGTTCAGGATTCAAATGATTCTGTCTACAGCACAGTAACCATAACTGCACAGTTTCAGTAATTGTGCCTCTTTTTCCTGCTCAGAAGATGGCAGCTGGACATTTCTCTTTGCTCAATTTGTACAAGGTAAACCAACCTCTCAAAAATTATTGTCATTTAAATTAGTATTCATTATTATATTGATTAACACATTAATATTTTGATTTTGTTTTACACAAAGAGCAAGGATATTGTTAACTGTTTCCAAAGGTTAGAAGAGTCTTAGATGATTCTGGAAATACTTCCAGAACAGCATTGTGAGTTTTTCAAATGACACCAGGTAGTTCTGTAAAAGTTGCTTAATTCTGTTGCTAGAATATAACAGTTAACACATGAGAGGAACGGTCAGAGGCTAGCTCAGTCTATAAATGTTACACCCTCGTAGTTGTCATTTTCCAAGATTCAACGGGACATTGTCATTTAACACACAGTGTCTCATAGTTGTGCTTCTTCTGCCTGGTGTGTGATGTGTTTTGTCATAAACTGATCACTGCAGTCAAGGAGTGGAAGCCATGAACAGTGCACAGTGCACAGTTTCTGACGATTCCTGGTGTAATATACCATCATAAAGGTATTACTTGTATTACTAATAATCTCCAGTGGTTTGCAAGATAAGTGTAATGTATGATTCTGTGAAGTGTATGAGCAAAAATCAGGAGCTAGCATATGAATAATGTGAGCTACAATCAGTCACACAGCTGCAGTGAGGCAGATTCAGCTGAACAGAAAGGAGAAGTAAAAATTAAAACATTTCAGGCCCACTTTGGTTTATAGACCAGATAATTAAATACACAATGCGCCGTGCTTGACTACACAGGGCCTGCCTGGAGCAGTCTTATTAATGTTTTACTGATCTATAATTTTACTGATGAAGTCAAGTAATTAAATTTGATCAGCTTTTTGCTTTCAAGTCTAAAGCAGTCAGGAAAGATGTGGCAACTTACTGTATGTCTAAACCAATTCCCGGTGTGATGTCTCAACTCTAAATGTATATGTTTACATGTGCGGTTACACATGCATTTACAATTCAGAACAAATGGATAAACGGTACACTGGGTCAGCCTCAGTGTGAGACTGGGGGAGCATGAGAGAGCATAAGGCCACAGAGACGGATTTGGCTCTTTTAGCAGCCCGCTGTGACTCGACTGGAGTGACTGTGGAGTAAAAGCCTGAATAGAGCTTCTGTGCAGGCTACACCCTGACCTCCGCGCAATGCTTCTCACACTGGCAACCACCTCTCTTTCAGGAAAGACAGAGCATGGGGAAATGAGAGCTGAGAAATGAGGACAGAAAGCAAGATGAGAGGAGAAGAGAGGACCAAGGAACAAAGGCAGATGGGAGATTGGAGCAGAAAGGAAATACAGGGAAAGGGAGCAGGAGAGGAGGGAGCGTGCACTGCTATGCTTGTAGGTGTAAATATTTGCCGTTCTGCTTGTCAGGGTAGCGTTTACCGGGACGGGTTGACTCCTGGTCCTTTTGCAGAATACTGATGAGACCCTGGGCACTGGGGAACAGGAAGAGGCAGTGTTTGTGTGTGCTAATCTGTGTGTGTGCACCCTGGCACATAAAAAGGGAGGAATAAAGACGGGTTTGGAGGCAGAAGAGATGAAGGATGGGAAATCTGGGCAAAAAGGAGCATGCAGAGAGCAGCTGTGGAGTGTTCCCCTGCAGCGCTCACCCTGGCCTGTTTTTGTTTTTCCAGAAGTCACTGGGGCTGGCTGCCCCAAGGGACGACCCCTGCCACGTACGCAGCGACACACACAAACAAACAACAGACTAATCACAGGGGCGAGACCTTCATTCGGCTTCAGCTGACTGGATGACCCAATTCAACGTTGTTCAGCAGACTAATGTGTTTAGTTGAACCATGTGTGTGTGTTCCGAGCTCTGACTAATCTGAATCTGCGTACAGCCTATGAATATTCTTCTTTAAACATTCACGCCACACAGAGCATACTGACCCAGCCAAAACACTGTAAAGCAGTGAGTAGGATAAAAGATGTGTGTATAGAGGTTCTCAAAGATACTTGAGCTTTAATTAAGTGTTCACCAGACCTTTACTTACCTTTGATCTACTACAATAGGCATGTACAAGCATAAAAATAGCATTAACCCTGGTTACCAAAGCATGGGCATAACAACCAGCAATCAGTGCTTAATGGGAATTATCAATATGGTTGACACATGTGTTTGACCAACTGAATTTCTGTTAAAGGTCACTGAATTAATGTCACACATTCACAGAGCACATTGATTGCAAAAATATATTAGCATCCAGCTACATTGGCATGTCTGTGGTCGGCCCCTCCCAGACATTGTCTGGATGAATCTAGATATTCTCCTGTTACACTGAAAATGGGCACAGCAGGTAGGTCAGTAGGTAGCAGATTTGATAATGGATTCTCACTCTCTTAATGCTCTACCAGGTACTTCCCCATGGGCCAGCCAGTGTCAGTGCATCTCTACTTCCAGTCAGACCAGTTTCAGGGCTACCTGGTCAAGCACCATGCCACTAACCTGGCAACAAGCAAGCTGGAGACCATGGAGACCCAGCTGGTTGCAGTAGGCAGAGGTGAGTCAGCATATTGGCTTGTGTGGCTCAACGCGTATTTTTAATTTACGTTTAAGTCACTTGTTTGGCACGAGTCACGAGACAGTCAGTCATTGCCAGTGTCAGGAGATGAGTTTCATTAAAACTCTGAGCACCACATGGAAAAAACATGGCTCTTCAGCATATAATTAGAGGTAAGATATACAGCTCATTGCCTTGATGACCTTATATTCATTGTTATGGCGACCTTGCTGAGATTCATAGTGCTGCATCTCCACACAATTAAACTGGTGCCTGTAATGCCCTTGTAAAATGTAAATTGATTGAATTCATCTGAGTTTATAGGGATGAGCGTTTCATGTGCTGCTTATTTGTTGTTTCCTAATAGAAAGTCTTCTCCCCTTCACACTGGAATGCTTCCCTTGATTGTCTTGTTATGTTAATCTGTGTTTCTGTTTACCACAACGCCTGTTTAGGATACAACTGCTCAACTATGATGTGACAGCCACAGAGGCTTTTTCAAAAAAGGACAAAATTAACTGAGCGAATGCAAATTGACCTTTTTTCTGTGTTTCATTGCGCACAGGAAGCACAAATGTCAACAACAAATTTGTGAATGAATTTGTTTGCTTTGTTTGTGCCTGTGGACAACACTCATATACCTGGACACACCCTGCTTGACCTTTTCCAGCGGTTTCAGAGTAAACTCAAAGGGATCCAGACATCCAGTCACCATGCGGCTCCCTCTCACGAAGCCCTGTTTGTGTGTAGCTTATGCAGTTGTGAGTGACAGAGAAGTGATGTGAGCAGTGGCTTTCATCTGGATACTCAGCACTGAAAAGGCTTTCACTGTCTGGCACTGTGCAGTGGCTGTCAGTCAGTCAGTTTGTCCATCTGTCATTCAAAACGAGAGTAGAAATATCTTAAATAAGACAGCATGTCAGAGCAGCAGTAGCTTCGCATTGCTTTTGTCAACTTAGCAGATATGACCCATTATACTACAGCCATACACTAGAAACTGTAGGTTTGCTAGATAAACCTATGTGTTCCCTGTCCTCCTAATGTATAAAGGAAGACAGATATGTCATTCTTCTTACCCCTCTATTACCACCCCCAGTTGCCTTTATAGGCCTTTTTACAGCATGATTTAGTGTAGGACCACTTACAGGCTGCACTATTAAAATTGTGTCAGACCTGACACTGAGAGGTATATTACTCTATGTAGGATAAATTTTACACAATAGAATGACTGACTTTGATGGTTTAGTCCTTGTTCTACTACAATGTATACATACACCTTTTACTGTATACAGCCAGCTCTGGCAGCTGTCGATGTTATCTTTGCTTCCTCCTCTTTAAAAAAACATGTTTACAGATATACACATTTATGTATGTGTTTATTTATATAATGAACATGCAATATTTTGGCCAGGTAGCTGCCACAAAAACTCACTGGCCATCCTAGCTGCTACCGGAAACGCTATCGCTAGCTGTCACTGCCACTATCTGAGCAACACCCTGATGTACTGTGCCAAGAATTAGATAAAAATTTAGATATTAGATAGATCTAGATTTGGCTAACCTAGCTTAGCTTAGTTCAAAAACAAAACTGGAATATCTCGCCTTGCAACTTTTTTACAGTTTTTTTTTTGTAATGGAAAGTCCCGTTTCTCTGTCTTGCACTTTCTCCACCCTTCCTTCATCTATCACGCCACAGTTTATGTTTAATAGCACGCATCCATCCATCTTACCCACAGTCCCTCAGAAGAGTAAACAGTGTCCCAGGGGAGTCCTTTGGTGCTGCTGATGAACACGTGTTTGATTACCCCTCACAAAATGTGCCACTAATAAGGCTCGAGGGGCATTCGTGTCCTGTGGTTTTAAACAAGCCTAGATGTAGACTGTCCATTCCGCTACCTGATCAGATTGGCCGGTCTTATTTAATGGAGGTGTCAGACTATGAGCACTGGCAAGCCAGTGACATTTGCAGTGTCACTGGGTCAAACAGAAGAAATGGAAGAAAATTGGATTAAGAGATGGGAGCACTTTTTTGTCAGGTAAGGAAACTGAGCAAAGGCTGAAAGAAGTAATATGGCTAATGAACGCCAGTGACAGGGCATAAAGCCATAGGAGTAAGATGTAAAATGTACAAGTTATCAGTGGTTTAGATGGTAGGAGCTATGTCTTCAGTTTGTCAGGCAAACGGTGGCTAGTAATTTAGGGTTAAATCTTCTGAAATTAAGGGTGGTTAGAGGTCACAGTGAAGTTGCCAGATCAGTATTAGTTTGACAAAAGCACACTGTGCAAGTATAATGCTCCGACTTGGTGGGTGGTTGGAAGGCTTGATGGGGTATTGGTCATAAACCGAAACTAACTGGGTAAAAGCATCAAGGAACAAGTGTGGGTTAATCATAAGCTATAGGCTGAGGCTGAAATGAGCCAACAGTCGATTCTTGTTTGACCCACTTTCATAATGAAAGAAAAACCTTCTTGCTAGTGCTTGCTTTGTCTGTTAGCAACAGATTTAACTACCAAGAGAAAGAGGCCTTGACTAAAAAGAATAATTATTAAATTGTTAAAATGTTTTAGTCAAAATGTATCTGCTGTAACAACATTGTAATGTACAGGATTTGTGTGGCCATGAAGACCCTGAGCTCTCTGCATAACAACATATAATATAGTAGTGTATATTTTATACTTTATTTTTGTAAGAATTGCCTTGTCTGTGCAATATTTCTGTTACCCATGGTGTGTTGGTGCAAAGAAACCATGGGCAAGAACCAGAAGCAAGTCTCGGGGGGTCCCCTCCTACCCTCTCTCGCTCACAACTAACTTAAGTCGGCCGTCTACAGGCTCTCTCCCAGTGGATTACAGTGAGATTCCTCTGTCAATACTCCCTTCATTTCTTTCTGGGGCTTAGAATGAGAGTGCTGCCAATCAATTGGGGATGTAGTGTGTGTGCCGGTGAGTCAGCCTTGAATAAAGTAATGAGCTACAGAGGTGCCAGACAAGAGAGTTGATTAGTGATTTAAAGAGAAAAGACCCAAGGTCCAAGGGGCAGAAACGATAGAGGTCAATAATGATTTAGATGAGAGTTGGAGTGTATTTTTACAGAAGACACACGCCCTCTTTTTCTGTGTGTACGTTTATGCATGTTGTATCTATTTATAGTGAACATTGCGATCTTGGTTCTCAAAGGATGTAACACAGAGTCAGTTCCAGTCAGCCATTGATCGTATAGCAGAGTGAGGCTGTGTTAATCAGCTGCTATTGTAAGGATGAGCGCGTCCTAAAACCACCATCCCTCTCACATTTCTGTCAACATTCAAGCGATTGTTCACTGTCAGTGCATACTCTGTGTGCATGTTGTCCCCTTCTTTATCACCCTGTCTCCCCCATCAATCTCGATCACTTCATGTTTCTCATTTTGCATACCGCATGGTTTCGCAGTCTCTGCAAACACACACAGAGCACACGTCTTCAGTTACAGTGGTGACCACAGTGAAAGCGTTAAATTAGCATGTGTACCTTTTGTGATTTATTCTTTACTCCTGTGCTCACATACACACTCTTTGTCTCTTTTTGCTTTATTTCAATACAAATCACAAACCTTTATAGAGTGATAAAATCCGTTTTCTATGGTCAAATCATGAGTTCAAATGACATAATGCATATCTATGCACCTTTATGACACAAACAAACCTGAAGACAATCCACTAAATGTTAATGAGTTCATCTTAAAACACGTAACAGTCTTAAATTAGCTCCCTGTGCCACTGGCAGTCCTCCAGTGTGTTAAAGGCTGGCAACTAGTTCCATGTTCTACAACCAGAGGCACTGTATGTCTCATACTTCACCAAAGATATATTTGACTTTGGTATTATCTGTTACATTTTTATATTCTGTTTATTTATCTCAGTATTGCCACAGAGAATGCAGCTCTCTCCGTTTCTGTGGCAGCACTGAAACCGCATGCTCGTGGAGTTTTCCTCCCCTGACTCCTTTTTTCCTGTCAAAAGGCTGTGGTTACTGTGTCTGCATATAATCAGTGTCTTTCTCAATTTGGGTCTTCTTCACTGATGTCAGGTTGCAATCTGTTCCACTGCAGCTACTGTTTAGGACAAATACCTTTCACTTATTGGACACATTGTTGTCCTTCCATCTCTGTATTTCTGAAATGTGTTACAAGTACAAACACAGATGCATTTGATTGTCACCCCAAGGGGATAGGAATGGGGTGGAGTTATACAGCTTCCGCAGTCTGACTCTCATGAGCAGACAAGTAGACTTTAACAGGCAGGAGGAAGCAATCAGGTTTGCCAGTGTCTACATATTATAATATTGTATCACTACTTTATAGGCGGCCGGGCTGGAGTGTGGTGCTGTTTGATGAACAATGTGTGCTGAAGATTACTTCCTATGATAATTCAGCACAGACATCGTTTATTTTAATAGTAAGGTCAAATGGGATGCATTCACAGTGTTATTATTTATGATCACTGTGCACTATACGCAGTAGTGGGAATGAATTAAATAGTCTCATTTTGTGCTTTTTTGCCTCTGCTTTGTTCTTTGTCTCTGTTCTTACCCCATTTTGTCCTTCACTCTTCTTTTCCCTGATATTTCTCTCCACTATCAGATCGGTACAGAGTGGGATGCCAAAGAGCGTATGTTCAGAAACTTTGGTGGCCTGATGGGGCCCATGGATGAGACTGTGGGCATGCAGAAGTGGAGCAAAGGGCCTAATGTGACCGTCACAGTCGTGTGGATCGACCCCACCAACGTCATCGCAGCAACCTATGACATTCTAATCGACGCCAGTGCCGAATTCACCCACTATCACCCACCACTCAACCAGCCTCTGCGACCCGGAGTATGGAGCGTCCGCATCCTGCACCACTGGAGTCCTGTGGCTGAGTTGAAGTTTGTCATTGCCCCGTCGGCCTATAACAAGCACCAGCCCATACGGCAAGGTGGGAAAGAGGAAACTAGCACTTGTCATTTTTGTTCATTTTACCATAGCATAGAATGACTATTTATTGTGTTTTTTCTACAAATAATTCCACTAGACTTATTGCACAGCAGTGCTGTTCCTTGACATTCATCAGAAAAAACCTAAGATGTTACTTTAAATGCCAGACACTTCACTACACATTGAGGTGCAGAGGACAGCACACACTATACCCTGCAATAAACCCTATATTTGTGAAGCCTATAAAATTGACTCTTAGCCCCTTTTACACCAAGACTGTGAAAAACTGCCAGTATTTTAAACCTTCTTCAGTGCAGCTTTTTTATTTAAAGCTGGCAAACTGCCACTCCTGTGTTCATTTTACACAGCTGCCAGAATCCCAGTACTAGAGGCGTGATGCTTATCGTGACGTCTGACAGTCCATATGTTTCACAACTGATTTGAAAACAAAACAAACAGGCTGTTATCTGATCTCATTTGCTATATTTATAAATGGAAACCGGGAATTACATTAGCCTACTATGTGCATCCTGTTTCAGGTCTGTGTGTTTGAGGGCTACACACACACAAGGTGCACAGCAGAATAGAGAGAAGCATGTGCTCTGGCTGCATTCAAACAAAATCCTTCCCACATGGTCATGTAGAGGCGTGGCTGTGTTTATTCATGCTTTAGAACATAACCACCATGAAACAATCACAAAATAACTTTTCAGTTCTCTGAGTCACTTTCTTCTCACTGATGCTGCTCCCTCTCTTCATTCACTCTCTAGCTCTCTCTCTCTCACCCAAACCTCCACCCTCCCATTCCACCTTGCCATGTTTATCCATGAGGTGGGGCAAACTTGTTTCAGCTACCTCTCAGCATGTTGGAGGCTCAACATTGACCCCCCAACCCAATGCCAACACTGTACCTTTTATACAGAACAGTGAGGGTAAAAATTCCTGCATTGAATGGGTGGTGTAAAAAGGGCTTTAGTTAAACTTATGTCACAGAGGAGTTGGTTGGAAATTTTTGAGCCTGTATATTCATTGTATTGTCACCAGTGGTGAAATTAACTTCTCCAGGACTGTACTTAAGTACAGTTGTGAGGTAGTTGTACTTTACTTCCATTTTATGCTTAGTTCTTCTACCCATCAAAGGGTACTCCACCTCATTTATCTGTCAGTTATATAAGTTACATTGTAGAAACCTTCCCTGGTAGGCTAGTGGTTAAGGCGCAGCGCTCTCACCGCTACGGCCCGGGTTCATCAGGGTTGCGTCAGGAAGGGCATCTGGCATAAAACACGTGCCAAATGTCAACATGCAAGTTGTCAGTGTGACGATTCGCTGTGGCGACCCCTAAACGGTAAAAGCCGAAAGTCACTTTCTTTATATACCGTAAGTTACATTTTAGATTAATTCTCACTCCATAAAAACTCTACAAAGATATATACACATAATCCAAAACATTATGACCACTCATGGATGAAGCAAATAACAATGGAGTCACAACGGTGTATGTCTGTTCTGAGCAACTTTGACAAGGGCCATACCATCATAGCCAGACGACTGGGTCCGACCATCTCTGAAACGACAAAGGTTGACAGATGTTCCCAGTCAGCAGTGGAACTAGTGGCCTGAGGGACAAATCACAAACCGACTTTGAGTCCCACCAACTGTCCCTGTATAACTGTTATAGAGCAGACATTCATATAGAGGATGTTAATAAAGAAAGTACAGAGCCTAAATACACATAGTGGTTATAGTAGTTTCTAGATTCAGTTTGCATTGACATGATTTTATTTTACATTAACACCAAGATATTTGTTCTGAAGTACCAATTGCTAGTTTAGGTCTCGCAAAAATTCTGCAAATATAGACACACAGGCGCACTGTATTTTTCAGTGGTGCCCTTTCTAATAAAGCCTCTGGGCCTCTACAGACCTTGGTTGTTTGTCATCAAGTCACCCCTAATAACCCAGCAGAATGCTCATACATATTAAACAGAGTGTTAAACAACAGCACACTTAGCCCTCCAAAAACAATGGCACAATTAAATCAATCAGCCAGCTTGGATACAGGGGCAAAACTGCATTGTTTGAGTCTATAAGCAGCCAGTTTACTCTGAAAGTCACATGGGAGTTGAGATGCTTCGGCATAATCACGTCTTTCTCTGTTTAATCATCTCACTGAGCCGTTTTAAAGATGAAAAGAAATAAAGTTACAGCTTTTGTCTCTAACCTGAGCCTCAGTGGACTGCAGGAGTCTGTTAAATATTCATTACTCCTTCATGGGTGTTTAGGTTTGTTTGCATTACACATTTATATTTTAACCTCCTATTTATGTTTCGATAGAGAAATAGAAATTTCCCAGGTGCTCATTTATCTATTCCGCCCTGATACATTTTCTGTAGCCAGCTCTGCTATAAGATTAGTATCCAATACACTCTGTTACCAGTTTATTAGGTACCATAGTTTATTCATTGGTGATTTGTTGGTGAATCACGGATATGATAACACAATAACACTACTACCATTCATTCCCTAAGTCAAAATGACCATAAGGCTGAGTTAACACCTCTATAACAGCTTTGACAAAAAACGACCTTTGTGGCCTTCAGCAGGGATTTCTGCAGACAGACGTAGTACTCAGTTCTCTTACTTGAGTAAAAGCCGCAATTCTGCCATATAAGCATTCTTAATATTAACTAGATTTAATTAAAGCACATGTATCAAAAGTAAACCTAGTCATTATGAATATTATATTTTATGTGTATTGTTGAATTGTTATCATTGATGCACTAATGTGTAGCAGCATTTTATCGTAGCAGCTGGTCAAGGTGGAGCTGATTTAGTTACTTTTTTTTACAGTGTTGCTTAGTTTAGATCATGCTTTCTAAGGTGACTCTATGTTTTGTATTATAAATATTCAGTAAAGTGCAATTATCTAAACTAAATGAACAGTATTAGTAGTGTCTTCCACCAGTGATTGCAAGGAAGGTGTTGGATTGCATTAGTAACTAGTGTAGTTTACATCTGTAAGCCACTACTGTGTTTACAGCACATTAAACGTCTAATCAAATCTTTTTAATGTATGTATAATTGAACAGTTATAAGACTTTGTGTGTTTCTTAACTGATCATGGATCAAAATATATATATAGTCCCTTTTTAATCCTGTGCTTAAAGATGTGGTGTATGTGGTGATTTGGGTGTTACATTTGGATTAGATGCTTTGGTTTTAAATCACACATATTAACAAATGACTGACATGATTTGGAGTTAAATCACATTAATATATTCATATTTTACAATGTAAGGCCATGTAATTATCCTTTAGAGTTATCAACCTCTTGGTGTTTAAGTGGAGTTTATAGTTATTATCTAATAATGTTTTCTGTGATTAGCCTACTGTGTGTGTGTGTGCCTGTGCTGTAATGTCTGCTTTCATCTTCACTGTTCCATCCACATTTACTGCTGTGTCTGGCACCACATTTCCCTCCCACATGCAGTGCCAGTAAAACTTGATGACGTGGCCTTCCGCCCTCACTGGCAGCAGCAGACGCTTGCGTACACACATGCACAACAGCACATTTTTTTTACACAAACACAACACTCTACGCATGACTTCTTAAAACATGCCGCTAACACAAAGCTAGCTAGCATGCCTTGCCTAATGGAGCATCTTGTGTCTGACTGCAACTTTCTGTCACCAGTGCTGAAAAGCACTGATGTCTGCTAACAACTGGGTGAGATGACGTTTGTGTACCACAGCTATGCTTAGAAGGGATGGCTAGAGCCCCAGTTAGAGGGCCAGTGAGGAATTTACAGCTTCACTGGAACCCAGGGTGGAGAAGGACTTTGAAGGAGAAGTTGTCTACACTTCTGTCTTCCCAAAGGGCTTGACTGTCATCAGAAGAAAAAGAATAAGGGATGTTTGAGTATTTCTCAGTGTTTCCAAAATGTCAGCATCACAGTGGCTTGACATACTGTATGCACAACATCAAAATTGGGATTTAGGGTGTCCTGTTAATAAATTAGCAACCAGTTTAAGCTTTTCAGATAATAATGAAGCAAATCACATTCTCTGCTTTCCAGTCTTTTCCCCCATCCTTCTGTCTGACCACTGGTTATTACGTCTTAACACATCACTTGCTCTCTCTTTCTTCCCACATTTCTCCAGAGGACGCTCTGAAATTCCACAATGGCCCAGCAAAAAACAGCTACATGGAGCAGAGTTTCCACAGCCTCAACCCAGTGCTCAACATCCCTATCGACCTGGACTTTGTGGAGCAGGTCAAAAGGAATGCTGCCCTGACCGGCCTGGAGCTCGAGCACTGGGTGGACAGCCTGGTGGGAGAGCTGTGGGAGGCGGCTGATGTCTGTGCTGTGGGTCCTACCGCCTGCCCTGTCATGCAGGCCTGCCTCAAGAACCCTTGGAGCTCCCTAAGCCCAGACCCCAAATCCCAGCTGGGAGCACCACGCGCAGATGGGCGCATCAGGTAGCGGCGAGGCCTCCAGCTGGACAGGAGGCCACGGCACAGGAGACTCAGTGTTGATTTTTATTTATTTAGGGAGATTGATGTAGGCAGGGGAAGTAATAGTGGTCTTCCTCTATCTGGGGAGAAGAAGGAAAAACAGACGAAAAAGTGGATATTTTTGGGAGGTTGGTGACGGCATCTGGACAGGAATCAAGGAGAATGATTTTCAGATCCTCCCAGGGGTTTCTCCTTTCAGGAGATTATGCTGGCTTTGCTATTTCAGTTTCTCAGTGTATTTATTTTTTTCTTCTCATGGCTGAATTTTACTGTGATCAAATGTTGCAATTTTCAAGCATTTATTTTGCTGCTAAATGATTTATGAGGTCAGCTTTTAAAGCCCTGCACGTGTGAGTGTTGATTATTGACACTGGTAGCAGACGAAGTTCTGCTGCAATACTGTCTTAGCTGTCAGACATACGTGAGGGGGCAGCCTGGTACTGAATTAAACATGCCTCCTTAAGGTTAATGTCAGCATTAACAACACAAGATTATATCTTGAGTGCTCAAATGCAACCAAACATTCGAAAAGGATTATTTTGATGTGATTCAAAGGCATCATTAAAAGTAAATTTCACCTTTAAAGAGGAAACTTGAATAACAAATATTTTAGTAGTATTAAAGCTAGTTACATCAGACCTCTGGTTTCTGGTAGTCCGGTGATTCAGTTTGTAAATCAGCAAGGGCAGCACAACTTCTCTCAGTTCAGTGCCTGATCAGGATGTGGAGCTGTTGTGGCTGGGTTCATTATCTGCTACAGTCACATTTCTTAATGATGGAGAAGAGAACCATGCAAATACAGAGGCCTTCTCAGAATAATTACAACTATTTGGATTACAATAGAAACTTAATGACATCAGTGTTGATGTTCTAAACTCATAAATGCTTCATTTGTGGTTGTTGTACAATAGTATTTTCGGACTTAGCATTCACACAGCCTAGTCTTCTTGAATAAAAGCCAGTTGTTGTGATAGGCAGAGGAAAAAGAATTCATTTCTCCGCTCTTTGGTTTTCTTACCAAACTGCCTTAAATTTGACTTTAAAATTCACATCCTTGTTTTTACTTTCTTCCAGTCATTTCAGTAGAACTTTATCTTGTACATAATCATACAAGAATTCTCAAAAGTTGTGTGAATGACGGGGGGCGGGGGGGGTGTCCATGAGTCGCTATTTATTTATAAGTTTATATTAATACTGATATTTTTAGTCAATGACTAAATAGCTGCGACGCTGCTTTGGCAGCATGATAAATATTTTTTTGTAAAGAAAGCTGCCTTTATTTACAAAGGCCAACACCCCAAACCTATAGTGTATGTTTTTATGGCCCACACCTGTGTTGGCCAGTGTTGTCCTGTCTGACTGGATCCTCTTGTCTTGGTGTTTTTTACACGGCTGTTTGCCAAGTGCGTCACAAAAGAGAGCCACTCTGACCTGAGGTCAAAGGTCAGCTACCTAACAACCTCACCAAATGCAGGAGATGAACAAAACCACTCATCACAACGAACACATTGGACAACATCTGAATCAAAGAAACTTTGATTTTCTTTGTTTTGCTTTATACTTCCTGTCAGTTTCAGAATGATAGTGAGTGGTAGTGATCTTCATGCTGTGACAGTAATGTACAATTTCAAGTGAATACTATATTGTGTCTTTATTGAGAAATGCATAATGTATTAGATTGGGTCTAAAGCACCTTTTCAACTCTGTGTATGTTTGAAGCCCCTTTTCTGCCATCAGACAATACTGGACATCTGAGACGAGTGGATTCCATTGAGGGTTGCACTGTACCACGACACATCCTGAACAAGAGGTATGAAATAAGTTCCAGTCTGTGATTGTCAACATTATTTAGCCATCACATGAGCCACACGAAAGTTTTTGCACACGCAAGTTAAGAAATATTACTGTTCATTAACATCAAGTTCACCTTACCTCTCTGTCGGATGTGTCTATTATAACTGCTATCACTCCCTCTCTCTCAAATCTACGCTGTTCCTGGGGTCGGGTTGTAAAGGACAATTTTATTTTCCACTGGTTGGCTTCTGCTGCCATCTTTTAACTTATTGTGCCACCATGCTCTGAACAATTGCAGTACATCATGCAATACATATTATCATGTAAGCTCAATGACAGTTTTGGGAAAAGGGTAAATTAAATAAATGTAACTCATTGTGAAAGTCCTATTTTGTAACAAAATGATTAACAAATGAATAAGATGTACATATTTTGTATTGAAATATTGTTTAAAAGGTACATGTACATGTAAATACAGATGTGGTAAAATGAGATTGAATTACCAAGAGTTTTTGAAGTGTCATTAACTGAGCGCAAAGAGTGACTCGATGGTGTTTATTGATCAGAGTACATAACCTGTTTCTGTGTTTTGGACAGCTGTGACAACGACTTTGTTCAATTTGCCTCTCAGAGAAAAATCACACGCCAGATTGTTGTTGTTCTTGCTGGAATGTATTGTTGAGCAACTGTTGCACAAATTTCTCTGACTGATGTTTCCCCCAGTTATTTTTTATGGGGAGGCTCTGTGTGCCTTAGCTGACTTTTAGAAACTTCTGCCCATTAAAGGAGAATCTTTATTTTGTTATTTGTTTTGACATTATGTGAAGAATACCATGAGTGTGTCACGTGATTCACTGGTACTGCAACACCAAAAAGATGTCTGCTGTTGTATATATCATCAGGCCTTCTGTCTTTATTAGCTTTTGATTTTTTATTTCTTGTTTGTTTCTTCCCTTTGGGGGAATTTGTTTTGTTGTACTTGACTGGCTTGTTTTACTTTTCTCTGACTGCATTTTTGGAAATAAAAATCTTTGAAAAACAGCTTTACTCTGTGCAACAGCATTAATATTCTATAGTGATATTGTGGCTAATCAAAGAGCACGTTACTGGTGCTCATTAAATACATGTAGCTTTGCAAATATAGCCATGTCCATTTAACTGCGTAATGCAATGTATATAATAAAGTATATTTTTCCCCTAGCAGGGGTCATGAGATGGTAAGACGTGTTCACATTATTGTGGGAAGTCTGTGATGGTCGTCACAGAACCTCAAGTAGAAAAAACTCCTGAGGGCACTGGACAAAACAGCACCATCTTAGCTACAATGCTAACATTGCTAGCAGTAAGTCTAAAGCTCTTTAGAGACTCAAACTATGTTTTTTGCACAATCTTGAAGGCAGCATTTGCACACTGATATTTCGCTGCCTGTCTTTGTCTGGCATGGATATGAAGGCATTATATGTGGGAAATTCAGTCACACAAACGAGCAGGCTCATTTGGTTTCTTGTCAGTTCAAGCAGCATTTAACAGCAACTGGCTGCACGCACAAAGGTCAGCACAACTGCGGTCAAAATTCAACATATTTGAAAGCAAAGGAAGTTTTTCTGTGATACTGTGAGTACAACATTAAGTCAGGGATCTTCATATAAACCGTTACTAGTAGAATAAAATTAAGTACTTTTCACCTCCTTATATTCTAGGTTATTACAAACTACAAAAGCTTAGTAAATTGTAACTTAAAGGATGTATACCATCAAAACTGCACTGATTATGTAATGTGTGTTTTAGTGTCTTTCAGCTCGTTGTTTTGGATTTACAATCCACAACTTTACTATTTTGGTTCACTCTCACAGGTTTCACCAGCATTGTTTCCAGGCGTAGCAGGGAGCATCAAAGCTCTGATGAAACTACCAGCTCAGAAGCTGATAGACAGATAGACAGTTATCAACCAGGGAGTGAATGAGCTAAAGAGCCTCAGGAGTTGGTGGAGAGCAAAATAAAGCTAAAAGGAAAGTGAGTAACACTTTGAAAGATGGTCAGTAAAAAGACTTGTTAGGTATTTTTAGTCAGATAGAAATTGGATAGATACTTTATGTATTAGAAATGTTTAGTGGAGATAGGATGTCTAGTTAGACTGTTAAATGCTTAGGCCTGCTTATGAGTTTCTACAGGGTACATCTGGTCAAGGATAACTAGAGAGAAGAGTTGATGACTGTCAGCAGACAGGGTGTTTAATATTATTATTATGACGTGTATAACTGTAGCCTTAGCCATAATAGGTTCTTATGTTTAAGCCACGACATGTTACTAGAGGTCGTGAGAATGTTTTTAGCTACACACCACTTAACCAACAGACACACACACATTGATTTGCTTCATGTTTTGACTACTGCTATGACCAGCTGCAAAGCTGGCACCAGAGACGTCTTGGTTGACGTTTCTGTGTAGTATGGGGCTAGCCCAACCGAAGTGATA